ACTTTGTAGCCTAGGCTGGCCTCAAACTCACAACAATCGTCCTGCCCCAGCCTCCCGAGGGCTGGGTTTACAGATGTGCGCCACCATGCTAGACATATCTGCCTTCCTAATCTCACATAATTTCTGTGGTTATATGAACTAGAGAGGTAGTATTAGATAGTAGAAGGAATTTAGATTTTCTTTGGAAAATACCTAAATGCTTACAGTGCCTTTGTATCTTATTCTGTTTTAGATAGGATACCTGACTTCCTTGATTCTGTTTCTTTATCTATGATACTTGTACTGCTTACATTATAGAGCAGGTGCCATGTGCAAATGCAATAATATAAATAAAAGTTCTTGGGTAATTGTAAATTCTTACATATCTATAACATAATACCTATGGTACTGATTGTTGAAATATCTCCTTATTTACTTTTCTTGTTGCTGAGCCTAATACCCAGTATTTGAAGAAGAAAGGTTATTACTAGCTCACAGTTCATTGAGGTTTCAATTCATAGAGGTTTCAGTTCGTAGTTGGCTGGCTCCAAGCCGGGGTGGTACAGCAGACAGGCATCACAGACGAGAAACAGTTCATGGCAGGTAGAAGGCAGCAAAGTAGTGAAGAAGCAGCAAGTGATGTCAACAGCCCTCTTTCTGTCCCTTCCCATTATCCAAACGCAGAATTATGCCATATCAATCAGTGGATTTGTTTAGTAATCATGCAGCCTTAATCCCAGCATCAAACAGTCTAGATCTAGCCACCTCTGAAAAGCCTCACAAATAACTGCATGATACTATCACAAGCTATAACCTCTACCACATAGATTAATCTTGTTATATGAATTTATACCCAGATGAAATTGAACATGTACTTTGTCTGTAGTATTTTTCAGTCTGTTTTTTCAGGGTATTTGAATTGTAATGGCGTTCTCTTGTAACATTTAAAGTGTTAGGACTTCATAATTGCAAATTTAATTTTAAGTGCTCCTGGTACTGACATTTACTTTTGAGAAACTAACCAGAGAATACTAAAATGAACATTCTCATTTCAAGGAAGAAATTTATATCAATTTAGTTTTCATGAAGAGAACCCTTGAGCACACCTTCTGGAGTACATAGCTTGTCTTTTAGCTACTTCCTTTATTCTCTCTCTAGAACCTTCTGCTCATGACCCTCATTTTTAAATCATTTAGCAAGGAGCAAATTAGCACAGAAGTATGGCTTTTATTTAGTGTAACCATCACTGTAGTTTTGCTACTGTTACTTAATTTTAAATGTTCAGGCTTGATGTTTATTTGATTTCAGGAAGGCTGGTTTCCAGTAGCTGAGAACATGGGATTTCAGTGCCTGAAGACTGAAAGCAAAGATCCTCGGCTCGATGGGATAGACTCACTTTCTGGAACTGAAATCCCCCTGCACTGTGTCTGTAAGTGGGCCACTCATGCCATCCACTTGGTGGTCTTTCATGGGAGAAGTGGAAACTACCTCTGGCACGGCCATCTACGGCTCAAAGGGCACATTGACAGGAAATTTGTTCCTTTTCGAAAGTTACAGTTTGGACGTTACCCTGGAGCTTTTGACAGGTAAGTTTAGAGCCAAAGGGGAAAATACGAAATGAGCATTGTCTAGTCATGAATTCTTACACTTTTTTTATATTTTCTAATGAAATCTAGTATATAGTTTACATGACTGGGGCTCAATTCCCAGTATAAAAAAAGAAAAAAAAAAGTTTACATGACTGTTCATAGTAATATTGTTTATAATCTTCCCAGTGAAAGGCAACCCAAATATTCTTCAACAATAAAAGAATAAGTAAACATGGCGGTACAGGGGTTTGGTTTAGGATACAACACAGAACTGCAGGGAAGCAGATACTGAGATACTATACACAAGCTGTAACCTCTACTACATATGTTAACCTTGTTGTATGAATTTATACATATACCTATATGAAGTTGAACATACACTTTGTCTATAATAAATTCAATATCTGTGGTGGAGATTTGGGTTTTTTAATTTGTTATTTTGTGACATTATGGATTAAGTACTTACATATTTTAAGCTATGTGCAAAAAATATTGTTAGCTATTACAATAATAAAAATTTCTCCTGAAGAACAGTTATATGAAGGGACTTACATAAAATTTATCAATAGTAGGATGAAAAAGAATTCTTGAAATTAGACAGGAAACATGCAGTTTCTAACCTAGACCAGAATGTGATATGAAGGTAGCAGTAAACATTTGTCTTTTGCCTTGAAGTTTACCATTCTTGTGGAAAATTTTATATTGAAAACCTTTCTTGGCAGCTTCTAGAGAGACCATGCTTATCTGTTATAGTTAGAGTATATTTATTCACATATTTGAAAAACAACTGAAACAGCTATTTACAACTGAAGCCATCTACATTTTGGGTACTTGTGAAGTCAAACTTTTTCTAAAACCAAGCCATGTTTTTAGGAATGAAATGACCAAAGAAGGAATAAGGGTGGAGGAAAATAGTTGTTATTTGTGAAGTCAAACTTTTTGTAAACCAAGCCAATTTTTTAGAAATAAAATAGACAAAGAAGGAATGAGCTAGAGGAAGATAGTTGTCAATATTGGCCCTCGTTATTTTGTTAAAATCATAGCTCTATTCTCCAACAATTTTATGCACATTTTTCTTATTCTATATTTTAAATAAATGTCTTTGTAAGACATTTTCTATTAGTTTTTAAAACCTTGTTTATCTCAAAGTTTAACAGATATCTGGTCAGTATGTATGCCCGTAGGTAAAAACTATTTCTACATTGAATTGTTTATATAAAGAATGGAAAAGTCTTAAAGAATATTTACAGAATGTGGGGTCCAGAAGGAAATAAGACTAATTTCCAGATAGCATTTTGCCTGTAATGAGACTCACAGACTGTTGTAATTTACTTATGTCTATGTGCTAAAAACATTTACTGCTCCAAAAGTAAATTGGTAATTTAAAATTATGTCACTTCTAAAAATGCCAAAGTACATCTGAATAAGTCTAAAAGTGTTTTAAAATACATTAGCCAAAATACTTAAAACTCAATTGCTGTTTGGTGCCAGATTTTCAGACTTCCTTACTACAGTTCCTAATTGCTGCCCAAGATAATTGAAGAAAAAATAGTTGAAGTTTAGCTATTTTCCTAGTGTTTAATATTTTGAAGAGGCTGCTAGTATTCTGGGTTAAATCCTCATGATAAATTTTAACTCTGTTTTCAGGCCAGAGTTACAGCAAGTTACTGTAGATGGACTAGAAGTTGTCATTCCAAAAGACCCGGAGCACTTCCTAGAGGAAATACCACACTCTAGATTTATTGAGTGCAGGTATAAAGAAGCTCGCACATTCTTTCAGGTTAGAGACAAATAATGTACTTTCTAAATTAAGGAAATGTTGTGTCTGTTTTTAAAAATTTGGATAGAAGGACTGAAGGGTCTTGTAGAAAACAGGTAAGATGTATTTTCCATTTCATCCATTTGTTTTCTTCTTTTAACTTTTAAAAATAGATTAAAAATTAATGTTGAAAAACCACTTCTTTTTTAAATAGACGCTTTGATATATTTTTTTTTATTTAAATAGACTTTGACTGGTCTAGCCCTGGCCTCTGTGTTTGGTTACAGTAACTCATAAACTTTATAAAAGATGATATATTCTCTTTTGGAAGCAATCTAAGAAGAACGAAGCCTCTGTAAAAGATGGACCTTGTAGATTTAGAGCAGACTTGATGAAAAAATAATTTTTCTCAGCAGTTTGGCACTGAGTGTGAATTTTTTGTCTTTATGAAGTTTTATGAAGACAAATGCTACACAAAGACCAAGTGCTTTTTGAACTTTACTTTTTTCTGGTGCTCTGGAGTTCAACTCAGTAAACATGTATTGAGAACTTATTCCAAGCTTCTGGGGATATAAAGATGATTTTGAAGGGCATGAAAGTTCAACTCTAGAGATAACATGAAACCACAGACATAGTGAAAACACATAATTGACAGTGGGGTTTTGGTACCCTAGTCTTTGTACCTGCCTTTTATTTTGTGATGTTTTCTACCCAGAAAACTGTATACGCAAGGGTGAAATGGAATGAAAAATAAGAAGTACACTTTTATATTACCACCAAATGGCCAAGACCTACAGTGCTAGATTTCTCTGGTAGGGTACATGGCATCTAAGACCTAGGTCTGACAATCCAAGTGGGCTTTCCTGTCCTATTCCTTTAAATTGGTAGTTGTTAGGCTATAAATTTTACCGAGCCTAATGGAGGCAAACCCAGAAAACTGCATGTGAGGATGGGCTTACTCTAGTAGGCAAATTCTGCCTGATATATTCCCACCACTTAGTAATAAGATATGGAAAAGGATGAGGCTTGGTGCTTAAACTTAACTGTCCACTCTTACTGCCATACGGGAATTTGCTGTGGTTGCCACCTCTGTCGTACTAGTTATCATGAGGTTATTCACCTCCGTAACCCCAGTATCCATTACAATACCTGGCACAAGGAAAAGATCCTATAAGTATGAGAAAATGAATGGAGAATAAGGTGCTTATCTAAACAGATGACTTTTACGGACCCTTACGAGAACTACTCCAGTCTCACAAGGTTGAAGCTACCTACCTAATAAGGATTTGCCCTTCTCATTTTGTGAGAAAGTGGTATACAATGTAAAATGTTTCAAAATACGGAGAAATTGTTTGGATAGTGTCATACTCTAGTTTTTTGAATCATTGAGGGCAGTGTTTAAAATAACGTCGGACAGCAAGACTGTAATTATATTCATGACATGATCAGGCAAAACTACTCATTCACCATGGTTTTTGTATCTTTCCCTTGCAGTAAAGCACACTTATGATTCCTAATTGGTTTTTGTCTATTTCTGCTATTGTATTGATATTACTGATACAGAGCAGCGAATGGGATTGACGGTGTTTTTAAATCCTTGTCCTACTAAATGTTTCATTTGTGATCATTTCTTGTGTTAGAAACTTGATGAGGGTCCCTTTCCAAATTCGGTGTACATATGTTTGAACGCTTGGTGGCGCCAGTGTTAAATACAATGAGTGCTCGATGTAAAGCAGTGAACTAATCGAATAAATTTTGTAAAGCAGCCTCCTAACTTCTTCTTTTGAATTTTTTAAAAACAATTTCACACTTAGCTAAAAGTTGGAAGTACAATACAGATAACACTTTTTTAACCTTTTGGGAGTAAGCTATAGATCAGATGCCCTATTACCAAATAACTAAAAATAGTAACATTCTTCTACATGTCCTGATACAACAACTAGGAAATTAACAGATAGATTATAGCCACTTGATCCTCACTCAGATTTTTCTGAATATTCCATTAATGACCTTTGTAATAAAAGGAGTCAGTCTAAATTACATATTATACCACTTTTAATGGGATTTTTATTGTTGTTTTGGTTTGGTTTTTCGTGTTTGTTTGGTCTCCTTTAATCTGGGACAGTTTCTTTGTCCTTTATTGACTTTTATAACTACAATGCTTTTGAAGATTCTAGGCCAGATATTTTGTGAAATGTCCCTCATTTGGTGTTTATTTGGTTTTTCCTTTTGTGAGATTCAGATTAAGCATCTTTAGAAGGAATAATGATGCAGTGCTCTTCTCATTATATCCTTTGGTTTCTCCCATTACTGTTACCGTTCACATCATTCCCAAGATTCAAATACTGTCTGCTAGCTTCACTTCAGGAAGTTTTCAGACTCTTTTTTAACTTTTAATTATTTTCTCAGTCCGCCAAGAAGTTCAGAATTAGGATGATATGCATTTTCCTGAATTTGATTTTAATTCAGAAAAAAGGATAAAGCCGAGCATGGTGGTGCACACTTGTAATCCCAGCATTCAGGAGGCTGAAGCAGGAGGATCGTTGTGAGTTCGAGACCAGTCTGGGCTACAAAGTGAGCTGAAGGCCAGCCTGAACTGCACAGCGAGACCCTGTCTCAAAAAAGATTAAATAAATAAATAATTTTTTAAAAATCACGAAATTATAAATGAGTTCTAGCCTGTTGAATTTCAGTAAAAAACGAGAAGGGAATTTGGAAATATCTGGGCAACTGGCCTAGGACTATCTGTATGGCTACAGCTATAGTCCTTGTTCTGATACCTCGCGAAAAAAATCTAAGCTTTGGTTTCCTTGTCTATGAAAAAATGGGTAGCTTCTATCACCTTGTTTATCATCTTGTAATTGGTGGGGAAGGTTTGTGCTCTTCTTGATTTTGTGTGCCCACTGGCAAAACAGGAAAGATTAAAATGGGAATAACATTTAAATTAAGATATTAATTTTCATGTTTTTCTAGAGGCAGGGTGATGCCAAGATTTACAAGGTATGTTTAAAATACATGGTGACTGTTTAAACCTAGCCCTCCAAACTCCTACCTCCAGGCCTTTTCTACTACCCCAAGCATAAGAACATGTATCTCTCATTCTAGTCTGGTGTCCTAAAAGAAATTATAGCTCTGAAACAAGGGATGTTTTCGTATTGCGGGGATCCTTTTGTAACATGTATTCCATAGATTGCAACTTATCTTAGGAAACTCATTTTCCTCAAGGTCCCTATAGTCCTTAGTCCTTACAATCCCTAGGATGTATTTCTAGGAATTGTATACATACTCCTACAATACTATTAAAGAATCACAGGATGTTTTAGGACATTGTAAGCATGGGATGGACTTAACCATTTATTCATTTCCCGCTCTTCAGCTGAATTGGTCACATGTAACTCATATATGTCAGGCAGCATTCTAAATCTGTAGACACAGTCAGTGATAGAGCGATACAGTACATGCTTTTATGGGGCCATCGGTACGGTCCAGTAGAGGGAATAGAAATAAAAGCAACGATTACAATTTACTGAAGTATATGTTACATAACTGTTATAAGCTCATCGAGGAACAGAGTCTTTTGCTTATCTTTGTACGTGTAGTGCCATACATAATTCTTCGCTCCATAAATGTTGAAAAGAAGGGGAACACTGGGAGAATAAAGACATATGTCTTCTTGGAAAAATCAGGGAATATTTCTCAGAGGCTGGAGCTGAGACCTAAAAAATTTTATTGTTGAAGGGCACATCAGACAGAGAAAAACATATATAAAGGCACAGTGGTGGTAAATGGGGGTCAGGGAAGACTTGCTGTAATATTAAATATATGTAGGGTGGAGATAGGGCTGGGCCACTTGTCAGGGACCAGTTGTCCTTGTCTGCTAGGCCAAGTAGTTTCAATTTTTGTTGTATGCATAGTAAAGCATCACTGAAAAGCTTAGTATTTTTCTCATGCCCAGAACAGTAAAACTGAAGAAAACCAAAAAAGATAAATGACTGCATAGATAGTAGTAGTATTTGTTATAAAACTTTATACTTTTCATGGCATTTTTCACCTTAAATCTTCACACCAGTCCTGAAAATTGTATTTATTATCCTTGTTATAGATGAAGAAATTAGATATATGACAAGTTTGTTTAATGTTTCTTTCTCTCATTCATTTGACAAATATTCAGGCGCTGTTCTAGGCACTGGAGATACATGATAAATAAAATGAAGCTTACATTCTTGAGAGATGCTATGCCCAGGGTCACAGCTGGAAAGAAGTGGTCCTAGATTTGAATATAGATAATCTAATTTAAAATCCCCTGTACTCTTCCTACTGTGTTACAGACTGTAAAGACTAGTGCCGTCCATAAACGATGGAAACATTATTTATTTTGTGTCAGTTATGCTTGTAGCTAAATTTCTAGCAATTATGCTTGTAGCATAAATTTCCACCAATTTGAAAATAACAATAATAGCTGATGGTCTGTTAAATCTGTAGCAGTACCTTGATGATAGCACTGTGGAAGCTATGACCTTTCAGAAGAGCGCAAAGGAATTGCTGCAGCTGGCAGCCAAAACATTAAACAAATTGGGAGTACGATTCTGGCTGAGCAGTGGAACTTGTCTAGGTAAGATTCATGTTGCTTTTCATTTATCTTCTTGTCTTTTCACCCTTTTTGGCTTTAGAGATGACTGCTTGAGATGACAGAACATTAGTGATATTTGAAGTGTAATATTCAGAGGCAGAATAAACACTAGTACCACAAGGAGCGATCTATTGATTCTTTAAAGGAATAAATTTCAGAAATATAAAATAGAATCTTAGGAAGGTCATATCTGTGTTTATAAAGCACAAGTAATGTATATAAAATTTATATCAGAACAAATAGGTTACAGTTGATTCTCAAGAAATCCTTAACTTAGTATGTTATTGTTTCTTTCCCTAAAAATGTTACTGCTTTTTTAAAAAATTGTATTCTGTTGTTTTACTTATACATCATACAACCAGTTTGCATCACACTGAAAGTTTCTAAGGAGAGGAAGACTGAAAGAAGAAGTATCCTAAGTTTTCTTCAACAACCCTTTTCTGGGTCATTGATAGTATCATTAATTAGTTATCACTGTTCTGAGGTGGGGAAGTACAGACTTTTTCTATGGTCTTGATCTTCAACCACTACTCATCAGATCAAACTTCCTTGAAATTTAAAATGACTTAGAATCTTAAATTGTGGGGGCTTTTTCCAATTTCATTGTAACTGTAGTTTATTTTAACTATAGTTATACAAAAGTTAGTTCATTTCGTGATTTTATAGTTACTATAATTTACTGTCCTATTTAGCAGACTTATTTTTGAGACAGGGTCTCTCTGTGTAGCACAGGCTGGCTTTGAAGTTACAATGATCTTCCTGGCTCAGCCTCCCCAGGGCTGGCACTACAGGCATGCACCACCATACCTGGCTAATTCAGGAGACTTGAAAGTGAAGGGAAATGCCTTAATTAATTACGTTGGTACAGTAAGTGTCAGCTAGGATATAGGTTATCCTAGTTAAGCTGTGCAGATTGCACGGTTCTGCCTGTGAAGGAGCTTACCATTAGAGTAAACCAAAAAAGAACATTTCTCACACACTTACGTAATATTTGCTTTAAGGTTTAACTTTTTAGAAGCAAGATTATTTTGTCATCTGTGTTACCAAAAATATTTCTTAATAATTGGCTACGATTCATTTTGATGTTCTAGCTCCATGGTTTTCTTGATTTAAGAGCATTTATAAAATGAAGGAGTTGTAGATGAGAAAGGAATCTTCCATTCGTAGTAGTTTAAAATTATTTGATAGAGTTCTTTTAGAATTTCAAATAATATTGCTCAGTATCAGGGCCTATTAGGATAATTGTAACTGCTTTACAAGTCTACACTTGTATTTACTTTCGAAATAATTTGGGTAGAAGGATTGGTAAGGGAAGACTTGGGAGTCCTTAGGAATATTAGGGTATTTTGTTTTAGAAAAATGCTGTAGCAGCTAGTTGAGAAGTAGATAGATAGTAAACTTTTAACAATGTTTGGAATGTATTGAAAATTGAAACTGCTACTGCTCCTTTTTTATGTGACCCATCAGATATGAGCTGTTAAGTTCTACAAATTGTTGACTCAGGAAAAGTAAAGAAATATAAGTACGTAGGCAGGTAGGTAAGTGTATATGTACATAGACACATGGAAGAAAGAAGGAGGTTCTTTAAGAGATGACTCCTGTGACTAGTCTTCTAGTTTGGGATTTAATTTTTTAAAAATTTGGCAAAGCACTGTAAGTCTAATCTTGGGAAATGAAAGTATCCATTAAGGTGACTGATATTTTCAGATTTAACCTTTAAAAAAACAAAAACCTCATGCCCTTTCTTTTTTTAGGATGGTATCGGCAGTGCAGTATCATTCCTTATAGCAAAGATGTCGACCTAGGGATTTTTATACAAGATTACAAACACGATATTATTTTAGCATTTCAGGAAGCAGGACTTCCACTCAAACACAAGTTTGGGAAGGTCAGTAACAAAAATTGGCTTATTTTATAAGTAGTGTGTCTCAGTTGTAAAATTTATGTTAAGAACTCAGACATGGTTAAGAACACTTGCATAATTTTATCACTCAGTATTAATCAGAATAGATTCAGCAGAAGCTTGTTGAGACTTGTGATTTCTGCACTATTTATGGAAAAGCTAGAAAATTTGACTTTTAATTGACAATAAGGAAAGGATACTGGACTCTAGTAAATTCATTTATTGCCACTCTATTGGGAAATAATATAATATAAAATTAATGTTAAAAGTGGAGTCCTATTCACCCTGTATGAATTTATATGGTTTTTTATGGGTCATATAATTTTATTTTCACTTAGGAATGGATGTGATTATAATTATGAACACAAATGTTCTATTGATTGCTAGGAACAGTACTTGAATTCCCTGTTTATTGCACATGCCCTGAGTTATAGCAGTTTCCTTAGCAGTCAACCAGAGATAGGCCATCATCATCTAGATGTAAACTTGCTCTAGACAGTTTGATTCTTTGTCCTAAGTCCATTATCTCATAATTGTCTTGTGCTTAATTTGCTTGTTCCCTGGGAGATATTATACCACAGAGCAACTAGGAATATGTTTAGTTCTTGTTAAGTTATTTCTCCTATCATGAATAAATGATTCTGGGGTACCAGAACAGTTGAATAAAATTTTATCCTGAGATCTAAAAAATAATAGAGCTCAGTCATTCAACAAACATGTACCAAACATTTACTGTATGTCTGGCTTTGCCCTGCACGTGTAACACAAAGATGAATAAGTTACTACAATTGTTACCATTGAAGAACTCACTGCCTAATTGGAAGGGGAAAAAACAAATTATTGTAAGATTGGTGCTGTAACAGACTGATGTTCTAGGTCCAATAGGAGCATAATTATTTGTAGCATGTTTCTTTAGGGAAATGCTCTCATTTTTTTCTATATCTTAATTTTTTAATTTCTTTTTTCACATAAATGATATGCTTGGTGTTATGTATGTGGCTATGTATGCTAGCACTTAAATCATTTATTGACTGCAATCAGAGACTTATTTCCTTATAGTTTTTCTTGGTTTATTAAAAGGAGAGATTATTTTTTTCCTTTCTTTCCTTCTTTAGTAAAAAGGGACTCTAGAATGTGATGTTCCTATTTTCTCTGGAGAGTGATAATTTTAATTACCATAAGGCAATTACTCTGAAGTTCATTAGTGTAATAAGAATAACTTTATGTGCATTTAAGAAAAAATAAGCTGGGCATGGTGGCGTAGGCTGTAATCCCAGCACTTGGGGGGCTGAGGCAGAAGGATTGCCACAAATTCAAGGCAAGCCTGGACTACACCGTGAGTTAAAGGCCAGCTAAGGCTACATAGGGAGACCTGGTCTCCAACTAGCACCCCCCACAAAAAAAGTAAATGATGGAACGCTACTGGCACACCCCAGTTTCAGTGGTACTCCAAATTAAAAGTAATGCGTCCTAAAAGTAATATTCTGTGTAAAATATGAGACTCTTTTTCTTTTGTTTTTTAAAAAAGCTTTTAAAAATATCTTTTCATTGTTTCAGTCTGTGATGGTTGTCATCTTCTCCCTAGGTGGAAGACAGCTTGGAACTATCCTTCCAAGGAAAAGATGATGTAAAACTTGACATTTTTTTCTTCTATGAAGAGACTGACTATATGTGGAATGGAGGCACCCAGGCCAAATCAGGAAAAAAATTTAAGTACGCATCAGATAAGTGCCTGTTAATTTCTGAAGGTAGAAATAAAGATGTAACTGAAAGGAAAAATGAACAAAAATCCCTACATCTCTCTGTCCAGTCTCCATTATTAGCTAATACTTTCCCAGCTTACCTGAAGAGTCTAGTTTTGCTTGTGTAGGGAACACTGCCTAAGAGTACAGTCCGTGAGAAGACAGTGGTTTGTCAACTGAAGGAGCTATTATGATTAAAGATTTGAGTCACCAGAGAGGCTATCAAAGCCAGAAACACAAAAATCGAGTCTAGAACCCAGACCAAATAAACACTGTTAGAGCGTTAAGAGCTTGATAGTTACATGGGAATAGGTAAGATAGTTCAGGAGAGAAGATAGTTCAGGAGAAACTAAGTTTAAGTAAGTAAGTTGACTAAGGCTGAGTCCATGAGTGCTGAGCAAGCTTTAGACTGTAACTGTAGCTGGGCACGTTCGCACACAACTGTAATCCCAGCACTTGGGAAGCTGAGGCAGGAAGGTCGCTATAAGTTTAAGACCAGTCTTGGCTACGTAGCAAGTTTGAGGTCAGCCTTGTTCACATAGCGAAAACCTATCCCAAAACAAAACAAAACAAAACAAAACAAATGTAACTTTAATATAAACTGAGACCTAATCCATAAGTAATATACATTGTGCTCACTAGTTACCATATTTTATCAAATGTAAGATAATATCAATTATAAGATGCACCATTATTTTATATGCTACTAAGAAATGAACCACGCTGCTAATTTTTATAAGGCAGAGAGAGAATGAACATGGGGATACAAGAAGCTTGGACTTTGAAGTCAGACAGACCTGGTGTCGGCCCGCTCAGAGGGCCCAAGGGAGATTTTCGAGGTCCCAAGGTTAAAGAGCACATGTGTGTAAGACATCAGCAACAACAGCAGGCAGCATGGAGCAGAACAGAGAGCCACAGCACAAGCATAAGAGAGCCGCCCGCATCTTTACTGTATAATTCTTATACAGATTGTTATCTCATGTTTCCATTCTTACATAGTGCTGTAACCAGCACGTGCGTGTTTACCTGTGCTAAGTCATGGTTACATAACTGTGTTCCACTGTGGGCCTGTGCTGGACAAGTGGGGTCACAACCTCAGATGTTCTTAGACACCCCTGAGCTTTGAAGTAGTCTGAGTGGTTCAAACTTCATCTGCGTCCTGATTTGTGGCCTTTAGCTTTTCTGAATATTAAGTGCCTCCTCTATTACATGCAGGTGATAACTACTGTTAGGCACTATTCTAAGTATTTTACGTGTATTAACCCATCTAATCCTCACAGCAACCTCAGCACATAGGTAATCTGTGAGGTGCTGAGAATGTAAGTACTACTTATTCCAGATCACGCAAATAAGTAAAGGAATCAGACAGACAGCAGACTCTCTAGAGTTCCTACTTTCAACCACTATCCCACCTGGCCTCTCTAGTGTACTATACAGTATGAAATACTTAGCACATTGCTTAGCACTTGGTAACTTATCAGTACTTGGGGGTTGTTATTGATATTAATATTATTAATATTATAAATATTAATATGACTACTATCATTACTGCCATTATTGTGGTAGTTGTGTAGCCAGTAGCATAAATTTGCCTCACTAGCTAAAATTGAGGCTTTTATTAATAAGTAAATTTGAGCCTCTGAGAGTAGAGGAGAGTATTCTATAAACACAGAGGAGGAATTCCTGGTTCATTCTGGTTTTTCCTGGGTACATTGACCTATCCTATTGGGACCCTGTAGGCAAGAAGTCTTCATGTAAGATTGAACTTGTTCTGGAGGTTTAAGAGTAGTCCATATTTTTTTTCCAAGCTCATAAAATACTGTGTCCTCAAACTGACACTGATCCCAAAGTCTATTCTTCGAAATTTTTATTTATTACAAAAAATTATTTTGCTTTATGAAAACAAACTCCCTTGTGCTACATAAACTGATTGTAAGACCCTTCAAAATTAGTAAATTAATGAATGCATAGTGACAGTCATTGCGGCCAGACAAATGGCACATGTGTGATGTTCATCCACAGTCTGTTTCTTCAAAATGGATAGAGATGCAAAATTTAATCTTTTTAGGATGTTTTTAAAGAAATTGTAAGTTATAAGAAAACATAAGGACACAGAGCAAGTGTGCTTACTTTAGAATCTCACTTCTACATTTTATGAACTGTATTACCTTGGCCAAGTTTCCCAACCTCTCTTCCTAAGTTTTCTCAACTGTAATATTGGAAATAATAATAGCAATTTCCACATAGAGTGACTTTAAGGATTAAAAGAGTTAATGCTTTGGGTTTTGAAGGGTGTCAAGGTGTCCTGAGTGCTAAGTAACTATTAGTTGTTATTAATAATTCATTATAGTGGTAGTAGTAAGGAAAACTGTTCTGCTTAGTCTAATGAGAGATACACAGACCTGTGCCGTTATCTCAATACAAAACTGCTGCATCTGTTCTTCGGGAACTCATACAAGAGCATTGCTCTTTTTCCAAGGAAGATAGTTTTTAGAGCTAGAATTAGAGTCTTTTTGTTCTTACATTTCTTTCTAAGGGGTAAATTGTTCTTCTCACTGACATTATCTTAAGTCCATGAACCTCAAAGGAACTATGCATTTCCAACTACTACATTTCTGGATAGCAAAAGCTTCTTTCATTCTGCTTCAGCTGCTCTTTATAGTAGCAGTGTTTAGGAAGTGTGAAGCGTTCTGACTATTTAACAAGAGAAATGAGCAGTGATAGAACTGTCTGGACAGATGGTGTGAGTCCCAGATTTTCTATCATGTTCCTGTGACCTTAAAAGGCAGAGAAAAGAACGGGAGATGACTGCATGGAGTAGTTTCTTTGGAAGATTCCTCCAGCCATATGCCATTTTCATTCTTTTTCAGCACTGTTTACTTTATGGAACTGTAGTATTTTTAACACTACCATCCCTAGGAGAAAAAAACTCAAAACCTTTAAATCTAGTATGAATCTTTTTATCTTTATAATACTGTATTTTTTATTCATGTATAATTGGTACTGAGAAAAACTTAAAAACATAGAATGCTTACCTATTTTTAAGAGGATGAAAGTAACTCATTAAAAAAGAATAAAGAATCTTCTTTCTAAGCTTTACTTCGCATGCTTGTAGAGTGATGTCCTTGGTCCTATGACTTGATAGTTATTTTAATGTCAACAGTAATAATAAAGATACAACTACCAGGGTATCTGCTAGATATAAGGCATTATAGTAGGTGCTTTATGTATATTAGGTGACACGTACATTATCCCTTGGGCTGTGTATTCTCAACTCCAGTTAGATGTGAGGACACTAAAACTCAGAAATAAAGTAACCAATGGCTCATTAATGGCAGGAAGAAGATTTAACTGAGACCTATTTGTAGTTGTGGTTGTTTTACTTTGGTTTGGTTTGTGCGACTGTAGTAGTGAGTATTGAATCCAGGGCCTTCACACTGGGTTACATCTCCAACCCTTTTGTAACTTTTCTTTCATTTTTGGGACAAGGTCTCACTAAGTCACTAAGTTCCCCAGGCTTGGGCTTGAACTTGTGATCCTCTTGCCTCAGCCTTCCAGAGGAGGGAATGTGCCATCTTACCTAGAGAGGATGTGATTTAACTTTTAAGCCTAAGTGCTTTCTTCTAAGAGTTAACAGGCTAAGTGAATTAACACATGGAATGCATTTATAGTACCTGGCACATTGTAAGTACCTTAGCGTTAGCTACTGCTGCTGTTGTCATATTGTGTTATTGGTGCTGCTATTATTATTACTAGTGTGCTGAACTAGTACAAAACATAGCACCATCAACAGTGCTAGCTTGGATTATTCTCTAGCCAAGCATTTTCTTACAAGGTATCATGACATTCATTTCATTTGGTCTTTCACGTCTTAGTCATTCTTTTACCTAAAATCCAAATTCCACCTTTAAATGTTGTCTGTACTTTATATATCTGTTTTTCGTTTCTAGAATCCAGATCATCAGTAATAAAGAGGAGTGGATGTAACTGTGCCCCTGGGGTGTGAAGTTTTTATTCCACAGCTTCCCGGTTCCTGTCGTTGCTGCTTAGGTTTCTGTGGGTTATTTCTTTCCTTCTCTTCTAAAATAAATGATGTGGCCACAGGCCAAAAGTTTTAGAAATTATCGTAATAGTTAATTTTTACTAAATACTATGTACTAAGTAATTTCATATGATCATTAATCTTTACAAGTTTGTAAGGGAGATTTTAATATTGTCAGCTTTGTTTTATGGATGAGGAGATTAAGACTCAGCCCTAGGTCTCTATCACTGCAGAGCCCATGTTCTTATCCGTACACCATGTGTCAGCCTCATCTGTTTCGTGTTGTTAATATTCCCTCCGTGAAAACCCTATCAGGGTAACACAACTATTGTTACATCCTCTAACAGGGAATCTTTTGTCCCTTGGGTTAGAAGTGTGTTCCTTATACCTTCTTATATTTGCAATTTCTGTTTATTGGGTAGATCTTCAGAGATTTACATTCATCCCTTGTTGGCCACATTCCCATCTAAGTGTGGCTGCTATGTAATTTATTGTTTCATTTCTCTAAAATTTATTTCTAACTGCTCTGTGCTAAGGATACTTATGTGTATATAACTTAGTTTCTGTCCTCAAGGATATCATTATTTAGAACATAAAACAAACATAAAAGTACTCTATCAGCACTACAGTCATTGAACTATGTAAAAACTGTAGGTAAGGCACCAGATCAACAGCAAGGAGGCGTGGCTTCAAAGCATGTTGGTTAGAATGCCAGGCATGATGGTGCACACCTGTAATCCCAGCACTTGGGAGGCTGACCCAGGAGGATTGCTGGGAGTTTGAGGCCAGCTTGGCTACATAGTGAAATCAAGGCTAGCCCAAACTGCATAGTAAGACCCTATCTCAAAAAAAAAAAAAAAA